CGAAACAGTCTGTCTGTGGATGACGTTATATATATTTATAGTTTTATTAAAGACGACTGAGTAGGTACTGCTATTAAGCATTTAGTAAAATGTGTAGAAACTGTCTAAAATGTTCTGCATATCCAACCCCTTCCGGCTATCCTTATTAGGACTGAATTAGGACTCATTTAAACCCACCGGAATCCTAACAAACTCCATGGGCAACATCATTCTAGGAAATTCAATTATAATAGACTAATCCAAATGTAAAAAAAAAAAAAAAAAAACAATGGGCGGTACTAATTATAAAAATGAAAATGCAAGTCTCATTAACATTAAATACTAACAGGGCCACGTTGTGCTGACCGTGTTTAGAAAATAAAACATTCCTATAACTTCAGGCAGATACATAAAACCCACACATTCAGTTAAGAATAAAAAATGAAAATCGTCCTTGATGAAGGCTAAAAGAATATGCACGAAATTAAAAAATATAAAATGGCGACCATTTACCCATTGCATCCTGTATATATATGACAGAAAATATAGATTTATGTTACTCTATAACTATGGGTAAATGGGATCTATCTCAGATATAGATGAAACGTGTGTACATATAAGGGTGGATGTTAAGATGAAAAGTCGAGTGGGACGAAGACATAAGAGGTCGCAGAACATTTTATTCCATACAGAGCAGTAAGGCTACTAAAACGAAATAGGTCACCGAATTTAAATAATAAGAAAAAAAGAAGAGCATTATTAAGGAGCGAGAACAATAGAAGAGTAATCAAGAAAACAGCCGATAACAATTATCATTGCATTTGAATTTTTCAAGAACGAAATCTACAACTGTTTTCACTCCATCCAAGGGAGATAAGCCACTAAAACACGAGCGGTTACAAAGCGTGGACGAATTAAGAATAAAAACAATAATGATGAGCAGAAAGTGAAGAGATTAATCAGGAGGAGCTTCTGATATTGCATTTAAATTTTTGCAGATTAAAATTGGCTGGAAAGCTTGGAGACGTAAAGAAGTTCCACAAGCGAGAAGTGCGATAAAATAAACTGTCATCACGGAAGTTATAGCTATATCTAGACAGCTTCACTGTAAATTGATGAGATCTCGATATATATATATATATATATATATATATATATATATATATATATAATCGGAATCACCCGAAGAAAGTCAGTAATGCCACTAAAACACAAAGGGTTACAGATTGTGAAAGAATCAAGAACAGAAACATTAATGATGTGCAGAAAGAGAAGAGAGTAATCAGGAGGCCAGTAGATAGTGATTGACATTGCATTTAAATTTTTGAAGATTAATGTTGCCTGAAAAGCTTGGAACCGGAAGAGAGTTCCACAAGTCCGTCAGAAGGAAATTTTAGCATAGAACTTACGGCTACATCTAGCCAGCTCAACTGTAAAGTGATGGGATCTCGACGCCTCATCAACAGACTAATAGAGGGAGGGATGATCTGTTAAAGCCTATTCTCCGTAGATGGAAGAATTTCTCTACTCACACTTAGATTTGTAGGCTTCATTTTACATTTTCTTTCTGCTTCGATGCCATGATCAGGGCAGCACAATTAATATATTAATCAAAATAAAAAATATAATAGATTTTTCACAGCTACTTTCTTATGCACAAGTGTATATATATATATATATATATATATGTGTGTGTGTGTGTGTGTGTGTGTGTGTGTGTGTGCGTGTATTTTAATCCGAATCACTCCAAGCAAGTCAGCAATGCACCTAAAACACAAGGGGTTACAGTTTGTGAAAGAATTAAGAACAGAAATAATAATGATGTTCAGAAAGAGAAAAGAGTAATCAGGAGGACAGTAGATAGCGTCTGACATTGCATTTAAATTTTTGAAGATTAAAATTGGCTGGAAAGCATGGAGCCTGAAGAGAGTTCCACAAGAGAGAAGTACGAGAAAAGAAACTGACAGAGAACATACGTTTACCTCTAACCAATTCAACTGTGTATTGATTATAGTACTGCGCTTAAATCCAAAAGGTGTAGGTACCATAGTATAGACTTCCTCCAAAGAATGGCCATGAAAGTATTTATAGAAAAGACGCGGGAAAGAATACATTACGCACGAGGGAATGTTATTAATAAGATTGCTGATTTTTCTATAGTTTTTATCAAGAATTCCTAGATATATAACAGGAGCTCAGGTCCTTCCATATTCAAAGTCTTTGACTTAGAGTTATGTATGATAGATTCTGGAGAGAAAAATTGTCGACACGTCACAGTGAACCAGCTTTCATATCAGCAGCCCTGAAAATGGTTTTAACATGATCTTTCCACTTCATTACAGCCGGAAATGTTAGCCCGTGAAGGTACAACGAGAAACTCCTCGCGTTTTTTTTGTTTTTTTTTTAATTAGCCATGCTGATTGGGGCGTGGCAGGCAGAAAGGGGTCTTTTAGGTGATTAATGGAAAGATATTGGCAATATAAACGTCTACCAGCCAAGCGATCGAGAAATTCCAATAATGAGCATTTACAATTAGGGAAACGACTTTTAAGTCAAGTTTGCTTTAGAAAATAGTCTACAAACATTGATCATGACAAGGTAAGGCACATTTAACCTATTTAAGAAATGTGCATCATTCGGTTGGCCTTTCAAAGTATATATCTGATAAAGTTGACTTGAGTTAAAATCGCCATACATTGACAGATCGAAACCAAATTTCAAGGAAAAGTGAAAACATTTAAGTGGTTACAAAGTACTGTTGAATTTACTAGCGAAAAGAAATAATGTTAATGGGAAAATGCTACTTTGCATTCGTAACGATATTTCAATAATCAATGAAACTCCTGGAAGGAAAAACGAAAAATCGATTTCAACACAAATTTTAAACTAAAACTCCCTCAATTTTCAAGCAATCGAATACAAACTTAACTCAAATATAGCCAACAATAAGTTGATTGCTTAACAGCCATTTAACTTGATAATTGCCACGTAAATAGCGAAAAATGGCGATTTTCACTGGTCTCTTTCTTATTTTTCGATGATCTTTCAATCAATTTTCATCAAACTTAACAATTGCTTTATAAATATATTCTCTTTTACATCCTCGGTAGCACACTGACAAATTGAATTTCAAAAACTCCAAAATAATTGTAATCTGAAGTGGGTCTTCATGTTGCCTGTTTTACCCCTTCATGTCCTCGGCTAACTTCGAATGAATAAATACAGACTACATCTGTTATATCAGTAATTACATTAATTCAAAATGTTTTTTTTAATTAAAGTACTTTAAAGTAATTGAAGAAGATAGACTCTGTTGCATGTAAACATGATGCTATTTTTGCTCCATTATAATTGAACGCTTTTTCTGATCGACCAACTAGGTATGGCTGTTATTGATAAAAATGGGCGTCAACCAGATCCATCGAGGATAAGTACAATTAAAAACATGCCTCCACCAACAAACGTAAAGCAATTGAAAGAAAGTAACAAAAGATGAAATCCAGATTTAAATACTTAATCTCTTTGCAGTGGTTATAATACCTGGTGTGTTACAGAAGCTAATATTGGATGATTTTTTTTTATAGAGGACATGCTGGTATTTCAAGAATGAAATCTCTGATGAGAAGTTTCGTATATTGGATCAGAATGGACCACGATATTGAAAAAATAGTGAAAGCTTGCAGAGTTTGGGCCCTGACCAAAAAATAACTATCACAAAGATAGAACCTCGGCCAAAGTCAGACAAGCCGTAGTCAGGATTGCCTATAGATTTTGCAGGTCCTATGAATGAATCACATTACCTTGTGAGAGTTCATAGTTTCACTAAATGGGTTGACATTTATAAGCGCAAAAATCAAACATCATCAGTAACAATGAATTTCTTGCATGAACTGTTTGCGAGATATGGCATACCAGATAGGATAATCTCCGATAACGAAGCGCAATTCATGGCTAAAGAATCCGAAGATTTTTGTAAGATGTTTTCCATGGGAAATATTGCGACATCGCCGTATCACCCAAGGTCGAACGGACAAACAAATGGCGCTAAAGAAAGAAAGCCTTGAGAATGTAAATGAGGAAGCACTTCAAAATTGTCAAAAGAGTTTACCATGTAACACGTAACCCTAATAGACCATCAGGCATGTCGTCGGGGGAATTAATGTCTGTTAGGAAAATAAAATCATTGTTCGACAAATTGAAAAACACGAACGGATGAAAAAAAGACAACAAAAGTTTCAAGGTAGGTGATAAAGTGTTCTTTAGAGCATAAAAAGATGGTAAAGAAACCTGGGAAGACTGCCCAATATCAGCAAGAAACGGGAAGTTGATTTATATGGTAAAAGGGAAAGGAAATGGGAAGTTGATTTAGATGGTAAATGTGAAAAGAAACGGGAAGTTGATTCAGATGGTAAAAAGAAAAAAAAAACGGGATGTCGATTTAGATGGTAAAAGGGAAAAGATTTGAATATAAAAAACACCATGATCATCTGAAAAAAATGGGTCATCGATAAAAGACTTGAAACCTAGGAAGAATCGAGAGAAATGCTATATGCTGTTTTCGATGTGCCAGCACCACAAAAAGTCGTGGAACCTATAAAAATAAATTCCAGAAAAAGAAAGCGTTCTTAAGAACTGGAAGTGAGTCCGAGACCCAAACGCTACAAAGTCAAATACATTGGATGAATTCTACAGAAAGAGGAGGGAAGATATTAATACTAATAACAAAAAAAGATGAAATATTGATAAAAAGTATTCATCTCAAAAGGGAGTATATTTTGGAGTAAATAGTACACCTAAATAAAGAGCTCCAGGTCCGAAGTAAAGAAGAAGAAGCTGCTTGGAATCAATCTTCAGATGAAATAATACACGGCAAGTTATCGAAGCATTACTTATATTATAAGTGCAACGAAGCGCGTTAAATCAGTAAGTACAATCGTGGTCCAGTGTATACCTGGGGTTATTCTAGCCACTACTGTTTCATTCCCGTGATATCTACAAAGGCTAGGCCAGGATTCATTCGCATGTTTGAGAGTTGGGGCACTTCAAACCTCTTATACTGTTCTTACATTTCGAGTGTTTCTTGTAGGTGCTTGAGCCGACATATTGGCATGAATTTTGGATAATGATGTTCAAGCAGATTTAACTAGGGATATTTTGACAATAAATTGTTGTTTCTTATAGAAGTTATTACATACACATACTCCTTGAAGTCTGAAGTACCTAATATCTATCTATCTATCTATCTATCTATCTATCTATCTATCTATCTATCTATCTATCTATCTATGTCACTTTGTTAATATCTATCTATCTATCTATCTATCTATCTATCTATCTATCTCAATCAGTTCAATCAGTTCTAATCTATCTATCTATCTATCTATCTATCTATCTATCTATCTCAATCAGTTCTAATCTATCTATCTATCTATCTATCTATCTATCTCTATCTACGCCAGTTTGTTAGTATCTATGTCAGTTTGTTGGTATCTGCCTGCCTGCCTGCCTATCTATCTATCTATCTATCTATCTATCTATCTATCTATCTATCTATGTCTGTTTGTTAGTATCTATCCATCAATCTATGGCAGTTACTATCTATCTATCTATCTATCTATCTATCTATGTCAGTTTGTTCAGGTTAAGCAACATTGAAACTGGTCAATACATAGATGAGTGACCGTTAGGAAATATCAGGTGCTCTAAGCTAGCAGGTGCGGGGGATGTAATGGATAAATGCTAGGAATGAGAAATCGGAGTTCCAATTCAAGTCGGGCTCATTACATTTACTTATGTGCAAATACGTTTGGAAAATGTACAAATTCTCTCTACTCACCAGCTATGGGTTGAATAGTAAAAGTTATATTAGAAAACTCAAACTTTTTACATTCAAAATAAATGTTTCGGCTTTAAATAACCTGAAAAAAATTGATAAGCCGTAAAAAAACAAATGAGTCAATAACACGTGTGTTCATATCTATGTCAGTTTAATCATATCTATCTATCTATCTATCTATCTATGTCACTTCGCTAATATCTATCTATCTATCTATCTATCTATCTATCTATCTATCTATCTATGTCAGTCTATCCATCTCTCTCTATGTCCGTCTATTTATTTCTCTCCCTCTTTTTATCTACCTCTATCTATTCATATCAGTCTGTTCATTTTTCTCTCTATTTCCATCTATGTCAGTTTATTCATTTCTATCTATCTATCTATCTATCTATCTATCTATCTATCTATCTATCTATTAATGTTCTCCTTGGAATTATCCCTACGAATTAATTATATATATATATATATATATATATATATATATATATATATATATATATATATATATATATATGTAATCAGATGAACAAAGTGCCTATATTACTTTTGAGAATCGTCATGGCATTTCGAGTCAAACTGGGATGGCCTGTAGAATATTGGACTTTGTTGCACGAAATTGATCTCTGCACCGTGGGGAATACTTGATTCTAATTAGACGCAGGTGGTTGTTTTCGTTCAGCTCAACAAATTAAGGTATGGTACAATGGGAATCGTTTAATTTTTTGAACCCCGCAAATATCGATGCAGCTAAACATTTACTGAACAAATTAATGGAAATTAATAACACTCGAACTGTATCCAACAAGATGATCAATGACGCCATCTTCAGGCCCTTCCGTTGTATATCGAATGAGAATTAACTTCAGAAGCAGATGTCAGTCAAATACAATGAAACCAATGTTCCCCACCTCCAAAATTTTATTGGCGAAAGATCCATTTATTTAAAAGAAGGAACATACCAACACTAAACAGATTTACACTTACTCAATGCCATCGATAGCTTCTTGATCAAAATTGTAACCATGGAAAATGCTATTTTATTAACAGAAATAAATACATCATCTGAGGAAAAACCTTCAAATTGCAATTATCTCCGAGTCAGCGACAATTACTTAGCTACCAGATTATTTTAGTTTGTCACCTGTTCTTAATAAAAATAATACTGAAAATTTAAAAGGAAAGAAATGGTGGAAAAAAATAAGTTTTTTTTAAATAATCGAATTCATCCTGGGAAAGGCAGTAAAGCCACTAAGACACAAGGGGTTACTGCGCGTGAAAGTAGTAGGAAACAGAAATATTATTAAAACGCGAGAAGCTGGTGCGGGTGATGTAATGCATAAATGGTAGGAATGAGAAATGGGAGAGCTGATTTCCAATTCAAGTCGGGCTCATTACATTTACTTATGTGCAAATACGTTTGGAAAATGTACAAATTCTCTCTACTCACCAGCTATGGGTTGAATAGTAAAAGTTATATTAGAAAATCATTATTATATACTCAAACTTCTTATGTTCAAAATAAATGTTTCGGCTTTAAATAACCTGAAAAAATTTGAACAATAGAAGAATAATGAAAATAACAATAGATAACAATCGATATTGTATCGACATTTTTAAAGATCGAACTTGTTTGGAAAGTTAGAAGCTGTAAGAGAGTTCCACAAGCGAGAAGTGCGATAGAA